AGCATTCATTTCTTTAAAAAAAAAAACCTTTATTTAAAAATACTTTATTGCTAAAAATGTTAACATCATCTGAGCCTTCAGCAAGTCATAATCTTTTTACTGGTGGAGGGTTTGAAATACTTTGAGAATTACTAACATGTGACATGGAGACAAAAAGTGAGCAAACGTTGTTGGAAAAATGGCGCCAGTAGATTTGCTTGACACAGGGTTGCCACAAACCCTCAAATTGTAAAAACTGCAATATCTGTGAAATGCAATAAAGCAAAGTGCATTAAAATGAGGGTCTGCCTGAAGTAGAATAGAAAATGAAAGAGACGATCTTTTAACTCAAAACACTTAATTATTTCTTTATGTGCCCCTATAAAAGTGTCAGAGAGAGGCTAAATAAAGATGGAGAGGACAGTGGGGAATACATGACCTCAGTTTAAAAAGAAAAACAGTGCACTCTCACAGTGGCCAGAAGGCAGAAGGTGGATGGATTTCCTAACTTGTCCTGAGTTGATTCATTACAGGAGAGTATTACTACTTTTCTCTGAAAAGCATAACGTAATTATAGTTCCATTAAAGTGTTAGTACAAAACCCCCTGAGAGAAGCAAACATGACTTTGGAACCAGTTAGTGATGGAGTATTTGGCCCCTGTACCCTCATCCTCTGTGCATGTGTATGTGCACACATGTGCTGTTACTCCACACAGGGACACAGGGTCCAGCTGTAACCATGATCCCTAGAGGCCCCGAGAGCAGAGAGCCACAGATTTTTTCACTATCTAACCAACTGAGAAACGTATTTTGTACACAGCAACTTACATGTGGCATTGTCTATGCATAACATATAGGACCTTTAAGGTACTTATACAGTTATCACATTTTAAAAACGGCAGTTGAATTAAGAGAAATTGTATAGAATCTGGAAACTCCTGGAATTTCAGAAACGTGGAAAACAACAGCTGCTGTGTGGATAAAATCTGAGTTTGTGACAGATCTTTCTTCAAAAAATAATATATTAACTAATTTGGATCTACCCTGTAGTTACATTCTCAACATTAACAGAAACACTCACTAGATTTAAACTAAGTTTTCTAGAGCCTTAGCTTTCTTCATAAAATTGTTTCTAATCACAGATTGAGCTAAGCTTATATTAAGAGGGGAAAAAATGATCACTTACAGCTGGCGTACCCAGCAGCAGAAAGGATACCACAGGAAAGTAGTCTGATACTAGTTTTCCAGCAGGTTAATTAAACATGACCAAAGGAATCCCTTCATGGCTGAAAACCTTCCACCCTCCACTGCCTCACAGGATCTAGAAAACAGCAGACTAGCAAGGGACATCTGAATACCATTTTTAGAAAGCCAAGTCAAAGCTGTTTTTTTGTCCTTTTCTTCATCTTTCTCCTGATTCTTCTGGGTCAGGATGAGTGCAATCACGGTCAGGGTTTTTCCTAATCCCATATCATCCGCTGGAAAATAAAAACAAAAATAGGGGAGGTCAAAGGTCTTAGGGCAAAGATGCAGCTCAGCCCCCAGAGAAGCAGCGCCAGGCAGATGTCAGTGACCCTTGTCCTCTGCTGTCAGCACCATTCCAGTCTCTATTCTGCACCTCCTCTAAGGAAGCCTTTGTCTTTCTTACTGAAATGAACACTAAGACATTTACTCTGACTTTTAGAAAATGTAAAATTCATTATTTAGACCTTACCTAGTTGCCGTGCTGTGCTGTTACTTATCTAACACATTCATTGCTATCTACCTCCGTTTGATGCTGCTGCCCCGTCTTTTTCTTTATTACCCGCAAAAGCAAAAAGGGCCAGCAGATATATCCTACCACCCACTTTACTACCAGACTTCTAGAGTTAGTGTTAACCCAAGACAGTCCTCCATCCCCTTAACTTACTCATTAAAGAAGGAAATAAACGAGCATTTCTTGGGTATCACCATTGTGCCAGTTACTGGGCTTATCTAATTTACTATTTATACCCTATCAAATACTATTATTCTCTTTCTAACAGTTTAAATAATCATTCTGATATGAGCAGAAGTAAAATGTCACAGCAAGGGCTCTAGTTCAAATTCGGGCCCTGCCACTGTCCACAGACTTCACACAGCAGCCGACTGCTCTTCCTTAAAAGGCCAGCTTACCGGGCTGGGCCGTGGCTGGCATGTGGGAACTCAGATTTCAGGAGGGCTCCCCTCATTCCCACAGCTGGTAAGAGGGCTCACTGTACCTAAACTGCCGGTACCAATACTACGGTTTACTCTGAACACCTGCATTCCTTCTGGGAGTCTGGAATTTCAGTCCCTGCCAGGCTGAAGCTGCCTGTGTGACCAGCCCCCACTAAAAACTTTGGGGATCGAATCTCTAACCAGCTTCCCTGGTTGGCAACGCGTCACATGTGTTGCCACAGCTCCCTGCTGGGAGAATTAAGTACCCGCTGTGACTCCACTGGGAAAGGCCTCTGGAATCTGCACCTGGCTTCCCCTGGACTTTGCCCCCTGTGTCTTTTTCCTTTGCTGATTGTGATTTATAATGAATCAAAATAATTTAATTTATTTTACTGTCATAAATTACAGTCGTGAATATGGCTATATGGTGTGCATCCAAGCAAACCACCCAAACCGGAGGTGGTCGTGGGGACTCAGACACAGACACCCCCTGGCCATACTGGACGTCTGTCATGTTTTCTGGTCAAGTTGAGCACCTCGGAAAATTTTAGGCTGACGAGTCCCCAGAGCAGAGACTGGGAAACGCTTCCTGCCCCACCTGCAGCTAAGGCACCAGCAGAACCACCGGGCTGTACGGACCACAGACACTCACACTGGCCTTCCATTCAGATGTGAGCAACGTCAGAGAAGAGGCTCCCTGTGACATGCTTTCTGCAGGAAGTGGGGGAGACGAGTGTCTCACTTTGGGGTGGCAGCGCTTTCCTCTGCTGCTCCATGGAGCAAAGCAGCTGTGACAGTTCCCACCAGGACACTCTGTTTGTGACTTAGCTTTGGCCATTGCTCCCAGAAGTCTGGCCTCCAGCCTGGTCCTCCACATCTCCCAGAGATTCCATGGGCCCCCTCCGCCTCATCAGCCAGTCAGCTTCCACTGCCTGCAACCAAGACCCGGCTGATCCCAGGGCTGTGTACCTTGAGCACGTGACTTAAGCTTCCCGCACCGCCGTTTCCTCATCTGTCAGACGGGGTGTTAGACTATGACCCACAGAGTTGTTGAGGCTCAAAAGAAGCAGTGCAGCAGAACCTTTGCTGGCTCTTATCCTCACACCAGACTCACCCAGAATTCCTCCTCGTGGCTTCTGACTTTCCCGCCACAGCAACCAGGCTAATGCTTGCTTCTGGTGCAGCAGCAAAGGGACCTGACAACGGTAACAACCGGAAGTTAGGTATAAATTTGGACGAGAGGCTCTATCGGAGCCTGGCTACGTGGATTCCACGCCCCACTGTTACTTTCGTAAGTGACCCTCCCAATACTCTTGTTGCCACATAAGTCGCTCTTTTCATCTTGGAAGTCCTGGACTCCACCCTCTCACCGCGGGTAACCACACGTCCTGGTCTGCCCAGGACAGTTGTCATTTCTGCCAATCATCCAGCATGCCTGTCTAGAGCCGCCCCTCTCCCCGTCAGGTGAGAGTCCTGGTTTGTCTGCTCAGTCAGCCCAAGTCAGTTCCTACTGCTTGCAGTCAAGAGCTCCGACGGGTCACCCTACTTTCACCGGCATTTCCTCATCATCTCCTAACTATGACTCTCCGCTCTGTAGGCAATGTCCCAGTCTGCACTGCTAGTCATAAATGAACAGCCCTTTAACTGGGGTTCCCCCATCGCGTCTTTCCTTACTCCAGTTTATCTTGTACTCTGTGACATAAATAACCCTCATAAAACATCCTTGCTCAGAATTCTGCAGTGATTCCATAATATCTCTTCAGCTTTTCCAATCTAAGTTCCCTGACCAATGCCAGGCCCCACAGTGAGGGACTCCCCCCGCTTAGTTATGCCACGTGCTGCTCCCAGCTCAGGGACTGATGTCACTTGATCATCCCTTATTAATACCAACCTCTGTATCTTCCCTCCGACCTCCACCCCCTCTAACTGGAGTGTTTGGTTTCTATCTTCTCTATCTTTAAGCTTCCATTTTCTTTAAGGCACAAATGATTGTTGACTTAAGAGTATTTTTCCCTTTATTTCAAATCCCTTTTGTACTTTGTCTGCAGTCCGTAGCACGTGATACCACACATTCTCTGTCTGTCATAAAGTCATTTTCTAACTGTCTTACCAATGTTTCTTGTACACACACTTTCACCCCCACTAGTTCACGAAGAACAGCAATTCCTTTGCACCCGTGGGGCACCTTTCAAGGCTCTCAGCAAATGGATCTGTTACTGCTCTGGACATAAGTAACTTTACAACTTCATGAAAAAGCAAAGTGTTTACTATATACAAAAAAGATAAACAACAAGGTCCTACTGTAGAGCACAGGGAACTCTATTCACTATCTTGTAATAACCTATAATGAAAAAGAATATGAAAAGGAATATAAATGCGAATTACTATGCTGTATACCAGAAAGTAATGCAACATTGCAAATCAACTATACTTCAATTAAAAAAAAAAGTGTTGTTTTTTCTTCTCACTGCTAAGCAGAGAAAAAGAAGATACCGTGAGGGAAGCCAATCCATGTCATCTGTAGAAAGGGTACATCACAGCGACACTCTAGTGGGTGCGTTCACAGCAGTTGGTCCCCCTCCTCGTGGGCGCTGGGACTCTGCTACCGGACCCTCTGCCTGGGGGCCTTCCTGGCTCACCTTCAACCCAGCTGGATCCTCTGCCACCACTGTCTCCCCAGGACGCGACTCAAGCGACCGATGCAGCTCATCAATGGCCTCGCTTGTGATCTTCCATACCGCATGGAGGCGATCTTGGTTCATAGGGCCTGCATACAAATAGAGGTTACCTAAAGGTGTTGCAAGGATTACGTTCTGGCCAGCGCTGCAAAAAGGCAATTCATTATTTGCCAAGTGATGCACCTGTATGGTCTAAAAATTCTTGTCTCCGGATTCTCCTAGACTCACAGACTCCTTTATCCCAACTGCCTATTTGTCTGTCTGTTTTTTTTTTTTCAAATCACATTTAACAAGAGCTCTAGTAAAGGATACAACATTAGAAAATATAAGTTAAAAAAATAAGATAACTCCTAATATTTTTGGTATTTCCTTTTCAGTTTTGAAGAGGTGGCAGAGACCAAGATAATGCCATCAGAATTTTAGGAAGAAAAGATCCCTGAAGTTGGATGCAAAGCAGAAAAGCCAGCAATAGAAGAGCCAGAAGTCTGCTGAGGTCTAGGCAGACGGGGGGGACACGACTCCGAAGCGCACGTCCCGAGCTGCCTGTGCTGTACCACTCACCCTCCCCTGCACAGAGCGCTTTTCCTGAAGTCACTTCATAAACACAAGCACCTCAGCTGGCTGCAAGTTTAAGAATGAAGTATCCAAGAGGTTTCTATACAAACAAAAATGAACCACTTAAATATTAAAATGTTTTTAAATGAAAAGCTGTTTTAATGGAATTCTTTCCAAAACATGCTACATACCATCTGACCTTAATAATCTATTATAATTTAATTTTCCTCTAGGTGACTGGGTCACCATGGTGATTACTGAATGAGGCTGTGACACAGCAATGTTCTCCAAATAGTCCTGAGCGGCCACTGCTGTGCCCCTGGGCCAGGTAGAGGGCCCTTCGCTTCACCTGGCGCCATGTCTATTCCTCACCCCCTTGCTGACCACTGCTCTTCAACCATCTCCCCTCCCTTCCTTCTCTGCACTTTCTTTCCTTTTCCCTCTCTATGTCTCAAGCAGCACTTGGGAGAAAAATGGCTGCAGCCTTTCTAGTCACTGCGGCCAGCCCACCCGAGCTCCCGTCTCCTCATCGGCAAACCAAACGGTCATATGATGTATCTGAGGCTCTACTTGGGATCTTCATTCTGCAGTTATTTCTGAATTCATTGTTTTCTGTGGAGTTGAGATGAAAACACTCATTTAAATAGAATGTTACTAATCCCCAACTCCTAACTTATCCCTCCCGGCTCTTTCCCCTTTGGTAACCATAAATTTGTTTTCTATGTCTGTGACTCTGTTTCTGTTTTGTAGATAAGTTCATTTATACCACTTTTCAGATTCCACATATAAGTGATACCATGTGCTGTTTGTCTTTCTCTGTCTGACTTACTCCACTTAGTATGATCATCATCTCCAGGTCCACCCATGTTGCTGAAAATGGCATGATTTCATTCTTTTTATGGCTGAGTAATATTTCATTGTGTGTTTTTACATATATATATATAAATAACTGAATCACTATGCTTTAAACAGAAAGTAACACAGCATTGTATATCAACTGTATTTCAATTAAAAAACCCCAATAAATAAATAAATAGGACTTCACAGCTCTCTGTGAGTCTACTGGGCATCAGGTTCATTCACATACTCCTCACTCTGCCTCAGCGCACACAAACACACACAAACACACACACACAGAACACAAACATGTCGGCTGGTCTGCCTACCTCATCACAATATGAGTTCCAGTTTTCACTTACAAATATTTACTGGATGACTCCTGTGCACCAGCCAGCGGGCTGAATGACCAGGGACCATGAACAAGGTCAGAGAACACGGCAGATATGGTCTCTGCCCTCACAGAGATCTAACTGACGCTGCGTAAGAACTCGGCTGAGCATCACGAGCTCTCTGACATGGCAGCTCAGGACGGCTTCTCCCTGCGCACGGGCACAAAAGCACCTACGAGGCAGCATTTAACTCGCAGGCAGAGCTGTTTTCACCGGGGCCAGCACCTTGGGTCTCACCTCCACCGCACTGACCAGATCCTCCAGCAGCTTCCTGGCGGGCAGCCTTTAGTCCTAGAGGACCCAGCTGGAGATCTTGGCCCTGCAGGGGCTGGTGAGGCACCAAGTGGGGAGGGTCAGTGGTCGTTTTGGTGAAGTTACTCTGTTGTGGCACCTGGGTGTTACTCATCTCGTTAGGGCCTGCTCAAAAAACAAGGGGAGAAGAGATTAAATTTCTGAAAAGTGAAGGAATTCTATGCGTGAGGGAGGTGAGGTCGAGAGAGGGTGGGGTCCCTATTCCAATGAGCAGGGGAAGGCTCTTCCTGGAGAGCGTAGCATTTAAACTGTTTCTGAAACAATGAGAAAAAGAGTTGAGTCCACAGGAAATGGGAGAAAGTTTTTATAAATCACAGGTATAACTTATAAGAAAGCTCAGAAACACATAGTAAAATGGAAAAGGTGAATGAGTCTACATATCCTTTATTGAAATGGCTTCTCAAATGTCTCATGAAGCTCATGCAAACCCCAGGTTCTGGGGCAAGATCCCCTTTTACCTTGCTCTGGGGAGAGGGCCAGGGCACTGAGTGCATCCTCCAAGTCCTGAATTTGCTTGAACAACTTCTGACCCTTGTCTGGAAGAGCCTGGATGTTCACCGACGCCAACGTGCTCTGGAAAACAGATCCTATAAAGTGGACGGCTCCTCTCAAGTTGTTAGAAAGACAGTTTCAGATCAGATTAAAACAGCCTAAAATGCTAGAACTCTAAAATCACGGTCTTTTAACCATATGTATGAAAACCAGAATCTTTTTTTCTTTTTTAAACGCAGCTCACTTACCAATCCTGAAAATATAAACATAGAAAAAGGCGGAAACTAGACATCCACCTATAAAACCTTTCTCACGTTAATATATCTGGCGTGTTTGTGATGTCCCTTAATCTGCTTACAGCAAGCAACGTGCTGACCTTACAAACAAGACATAGATCAGCGGGAGTTACCTTCTTCTGTTTCAGTTGTGTTGTGAGGTACACACGTTGGGCCACTGGGTCTGAAGGTTCTCCCTTCTTGGAAACACCCAAGACAGTGTTTCTCTGCACGCTTTGACCAGGGAATTTAAGATTCTCCTTCCTCTGCGAGTCTGGAGTCAGGTCAAAGAGCAAGGGGCTCCCCGGCTTAGAGGACACGGAAACAGCGTCATCTTCCTCGCTGTCACTGCTAGTGTCAGCATCTGGCCTCTCCCCCCGGGGACGCCCTGCGGCCGGTGGTGCAGGCTGAGGGGCTGGTTCCTTCGGAGCAGACACATCGCGCGTCTCCGACGGCACCGGACAATGGCCCTGGGGCGGCCTCCTCTGGAGGGTCTGCGCACTTGGGTCGTCCTTCGCCCTTGTTTCTCTAGCCTCCCAGCTCTTGGGGTGCTCTTTGCTGAGTTGTTCCCCAAGCAGGGGCTGGCTTACTGGGTCGTGATGGTGAACAATTCGAGGCCTGGCTTCCTTTTCCCTCAGAGGTTCTGATTCTTTTTGGGCGTAATGACTCTCCCCATCTGACTCCAGAGGAGACACAGACGGCTTTCTCAGCTCACTCCCATGGATCTGTCTGGACTGAATTTCCAAAAGGTTTCTTTTGTGGGTCCCTTCAGTCTCCTTTGCTTCACCCCGAAACACCGTTTTCTCCCCTTGCGGCTTCTCCTGAACTACAGATTGCTTTTCCTTTACCACCAGGCCAGATGAGAGATCTTTCTCCCTCCAGCAGTTAGATTCAGGCTTCCGTTCCTTCTTTGGATCCAAGAGCGGATCTCCCTTTTCCTGTTGTTTCCGATCAGCTGTCTTTTCCTCACCTTCACCTTGGGTGAACTGTTTCCAGAGGGACGGTTCTTGATTCTTGTCAAGCACCTTGAACGGGTTTCTCTGCTGGCTGGAAGGATACAGTGGCTCTGATGCATGCTGAGACTCAGTGGTCACAGAATATTTTTTGGTTACAGAATGTTCTTTGGAATTAGGATCCTACAAGACAAAGGAACTAATGTGAATATAAGGCATTGATGCAACCTTCACATCTAGAATGCCTTTTTTCAGAGGAAACGGAAGCAGAGTAAAAGCAGTCCAATTTTCCTGAACGTCCCTGGGATCACCTCTCCCTGCAGAGAGGGCTATGTGCCAAGCTCACCAAATATTAGCTTCTTAACAGCACTTGAAATGCTTGGCTCCTTCTCTGTCCGTGATCACTGCTTTTCCTGGCCTCAAGGAAAAGTAGTGGCCAAATCAAAGTGTGTTTTATAATAGCAACAGCCACAATGTGTACTTTTCATGAAAATCTATTCTCTCAAGATGAACTTCCCCCCAAACCCAAACACTATCCTGCGCTTGCCTGGATGTTGGCTTTAGGAAGGCTTCACATGGGAATCTAGAATCCGAAGTTCAAGCTATCCCTTCACCAAAACAAGTCTCATGACCTCCCTCAGTCTGGATATCTGTAGGGTCTCTCCTAGTTCTCAAGTTCTGGAAGCTTATGAATTATACTCCGCTTATACCAACATCAAGCAGATTATCAGTCTATGACAAGATGCTAAAGTTAGTCAAGTAAATTTAAATTTTCCCTAAATAGGAGATACTGACTATATTTAAGATCTCAAAAAACATTAAGTGAAACAGGAGGCAAACAATTAATTCTCGAAGGTAACCAAATAGTCCTTTGAATTAAAAGTCCCAACAGGGTCTGCCTTGCTTAAAGAAAAGAACAGTTGTGGGGGGGAGGGTACAGCTCAGTGGTAGA